TGCAGTTGTTCTGGTGTTTAGTGCAGTTGTACTAATGTTTTGTGCAGTTGTAATGATAATGATAAAAAAAGTGTTAATATGTCCAGGCTTTATATAAACCATGTGCCTAATAGGGTTAAAATAATCCTACTTACGATTTACTGAGTCGTAGCATTGAATTAGTGGTACCGAATTTTTTATTAGTCAGTGAATTAGTATTAGAAGTTATTTTTGGATGTGCATTTGTGATGGTCTAGCGGTGAAAAAAAAATCTAGCCATGCTCTGTGGTATAATTGGTTTCGTATCGGTATAACTTAGCTCGTATCGGNATAACTGAACTCAGTTATACCGATACGAGCTAAGTTATACCGATACGAACCGATAACGAGAGGCAGGCAGATGCGAAATTCAGTTTGGTTATATCGATCCTACTAGTTATGCATTTACATATTTAATTGTTTGTTAAAAAAACCTAACTGAATTCTATCGTTATTTTTGCGTTCACTGTTTAAAATGCGTTTACTTTTTTAATATATTTTTTGGTTTAATTAATTAATTAATTAATTTTTTTATTCATTATATTAATGATTTAAAAATAATTTCTAAATACCTCGCACTCAGTTTGGTGGATGCCAGAGGAGACATCATAGCCGGTTTAACGCTGGCACTCACCGTCATTCCGCAATCTATGGCCTATGCCAAAATTGCTGAGTTGCCGACGCAAGTGAGCTACGTGTTCTTACGTGTTCTTACGTGTTCATTCATTCATTTATTCATTCATTCGTTCGTTCTTTCGTTCTTTCGTTCATTCGTTCTTTCGTTTGTTCTTTCCTTTATTATTTATTATTCGTTCATTGTTTTGTGTATATATTAATACAACAATTATAATGAAACTGCGCGAAGTACGGCCTGTACACCTCCTTCGTATGCTATTTTGTGTACTGCTTGCTGGGGACAGCACGTGACGTCAACCTTGGTCCGACAGCTGTCCTGTCGCTGCTGACAGCTGAGTTCACTCACCAAATTCCACAACTGGCCTCCCTGCTGGCGCTGGTCTGCGGCGTCGTCCAGCTGATCATGGGACTGCTTAACATCGGTCAGTTGTGCCGGGCTGTGCTCTGATGATGACAGTGTTGGTGATGGATGTTTGTGCTATCGTGCTGATGACAACTCGTTATTATATTATGCTCCTATATTATTCTAGCGTTGCAATCGTTCAAAAACTGAAGTGATAGAGAAAAGTTCAATATAATGTCCCGCCTGCTAGCTAGGTAGGACGAGATCAGGTGTGACATGCGTGAGGATGATGAAGACGACGATGATGATGCTGATATGATGATGATAACATGCTGTGCTGAGTAATTAGACAGGCAATAATCCAATAATAATCCTGTATTAGTATAAGTATAATATATATAATATATATACTTATAACTATATAAAGCATACGGCAAATATATATTACATATATATTCACATATAAAGCGTATATATATATATAAGCTTATATAATGTGTATATAACTTTATAAAGTATATATATATATATATATATATATTGCATATATAAGCTTATATAAAAATATATAACTATATAAAGCGTATATATATATATATATATATATATAACCAAATAAACTCTTTCTTATTATAAAAGCTTATATAAAGCATATATAACTTTAAATTTAACCGGAGCGCCATTATTATTATATGTATATTATTATTATTATTAATATTTGTGTTATTATTACTATTATTCTTTATATTTTTAATAAGACTGATTACATGAATGGAAATGGCCTGTAAAAAATTATGCTAAATTAAACAAGATTGCTGTGACGATGGTGATGATGATGATAATGATGGTGATGATGATGGTAATGATGATGATGCTAGTAGTGATGATGAGGATGATGATGAAGATGACGACGACGATGATGATGGGGAACAAAATGCAGGTTTCGTCATGGAGTTCATCTCCCACACCATCATCAACAGTTTCACCACTGCCGCCGCGTTAGCTATAATGTTCAGTCAGATAAAGGTGAGGATGATAATGATGATGATGATGGTGTTGATGATGGTGGTGATGGTGGTGATGATGATGGTGTTGATGATGATGGTGTTGATGATGATGGTGATGGTGTTGATGATGATGGTGTTGATGATGATGGTGTTGATGATGATGGTGTTGATGATGATGGTGATGATGGTGGTGATGATGGTGATGATGGTGATGATGATGGGGATAAAATAGAGATTCATTGATTGAAACTGTCACATCATTTTGACGAAGATTTTGTTGATTATGATGATACAATAACAATGATAATTTATTAACGAATTAGTTAATTATGATGACGAAGGTGATAATAATAATAATAATAATATTAATAAAATTTGCAGAAATGGCTGGGATTGAAAAACGTACCAAGAGAGTTTATTAAGCAGTTGTATTGGACGGTTATGAAGATTCCCGAAGCACAGTTCGTATCATTATGAATTTTCATTCGTTTTTTTA